GTTGAAATCACGTGGTTGCTTACTTGCAGAAGTTGACTGCCTGCAGGTCACACCTAGTTGTTGCATGGCAACCGTGTCGGCCCAGTACCGGCTACGGATATAAACCTCTGCTTGAAAGACACTGAGGACATAGCGCGAATATTTGAGGTCGATGCACAGTCCTTTGCTCCTTTGCCGCTATAAATATGCGCTTGCACACCTAATGTCAGAAATGGCTAAGCGTATTGAACATTGCTGTAATGTATGCCGTCTCTGCAACAGATATATTTAGTAATTGAAGGGCATTATATGCAGGAAACGGGGTTTAAAGGTGAACTTATCGACAATACCTGATGCGATTTTCGAAATCAGCACATTGCTATATCACCTGTCTATTAAATTAATTTAATTTCATGCTTAACAATCAGCGGAACAACCCAGGCTTTAGTCCCGGTCGAGTAACTCGCCTTTATTCTTTCTGAACGTTTTAAGTGAGTCCACCTAATGGAAAAGAAACAGGCGACTTCGCATTAGCTGCTGTTGGCTCTACCTTGAAAGTATGACATTATTGGCAGATAAGATGGAAATGGAAATCAAAAGCAGCCGCATTTATACGGTGCTCGTCCACGGTCTTGAAACATCTGCCGTCCTGAGGCGTCATGAGGCTCGTCTACTCGGCTTCCAGCAACGCCGTCTGCGCAGCATCGTCAAAATCCGATGGTACCACCGGGTTACGAATTAACTAGTGCTGATGGCCAGCGGTCTGGGAAAAAAACCATCAGTTGAACTCGGACCCCCGACACCTTGCTTGGTTTGATGAAACGGCCCTAAATGAGAACGGGGAGATCGTTTCAAAGCTTTTCTCAAGTAAGCGAACCGGGAACCGGCCAGAGTCGTGTTGGGGGAGAATTCGAACATGCAAACACGTTGTTCAGGCAAACCCGCTAACGATCAGGAATATGCCGCAGTGAACCTCAACGTAATATGCATCTAAGATACCGTTTCTAACGCTTAGACGTCATAAGTCTAGCATAGTTTACTGCTCAGTCTCTGCTAATCTTTCATGATGATAACATCACCACAACAAAAGCAATCTTCAGTAAATCATAGCATATTGCCAGTTACTTCCTGGATGAAGCTAGTTATGGAAAATCGCCGTCTGTAGCTTCTTGAAGATGGAAGGGTTTTGTTTGTTTGCCTTGAAGGTGACCGAATATTTTCTGTACGCCTAAATCGTATTCATCGATGAACAGCTGAAGGACATTTAAAGGGACGACGATCTTCATTACGAATCCAGTGTCAATAACAGAAAGAGTCAGAAAACTACCAATTATCATAAACTTGAATAGAATACACAACGAAATAATGGCTGTATCTGTGGATACAGTACCATTCGTTCCATTTGCCCGTTAGAATAATCTTAGAATAAACGTGTTCCGGATTCATGGTCATTGTACAGTTTAAGGGCTAGGATTTTTAACATTTTGGGTACGAAACGACTGGCTGAGTCCACAATACAAATAAACATAGGGTGTCCAGCGTTCAACGATTTCTACTTTTAACTAATCAAAATAAATTAATACTCTATCGATTTCATCGAAAGCATTAATTCGAACTATAGAAAATACATTCAACCAGCGAATTGAAGGCAAAAAGCCTTTAGAAGTGAAAACAGGACAAATACTAAAAATCGTAGCGACAACAGTATCACGAAAATAGTCATATTTGCAATTTTAGAACTTTTAGTTAATTAAAATTCTTCCGGCAACACTTTAGAGAGTGAACGAAGAGCTGATGAAGGAAACATTTTCTTAACGTATTCTCTGTCATAGGAACGTAAAAATAATCTAGGCTGCAATGTTGTTAACCTTGCATCCCGATACCCAAGCAGAAATAACAATATTACTTTCAGAATGGAATGGTTTGGTTATGCTTCTCATCACGGATTCTGAGAAGAATTAAATTAAAGCTCATTAAAGACGCTTGATTACCTATTTGTTGAAGACTCTGCTTATCTACTACACGTTAGCTGGTACGCCTGCACACTTCGTAGGTGCTGAGAAATAGAATTATCTGGATATTATAAGTGGTAGCAAAGCTGTAACTTGCGAATGAAAGAAATTTGTCACAATTGGCAAGGTTTATCCTTTAATATATCAGCATGACCTCTGAACAGTATTTACTTTACTGTGTGCCTTAGCGTATATCGGCTGTGACGAGTTTTCTCGACTTTAATGTTCCTCTGTCATTCTGTAACCCAGTTCCTCGTTTAAAAACGGATATCACCAAGTACCGTAATTTAAAGGAATAATATTCCGAAGTCGCGGATGATATTATTCTGCAAAAACCTCCGTAATTTTAGCCGTAATCTACGGCAGCACGCTTCGACTCCCGTCGCAAACGTAGAAGAAAGCAAAATGACTGTTTGTACTTGTGCCTCCATCGGCTGACTGACAAATCGTGGCATGGATGACAGTAGATTTTTCGTGTTTTTAGCGCGCCTAGTAGAAACGTAAATTTCGAAGACGACGGCTGATGCGAGGAGGTAAAAAGTTAACGACTTCTAATAAACGATGGACTCGCACTCTCATGAATGTTAAATAGCAGAAGGGGCGGAAACGGGAGCAGCCGGTGGAAAAAAACTTTGACACCGAGCGACCAGTGGCCGGTAGAGAGGCCGTTGTGTAGCGACGCAGCGCAAAGCTGAAAGGTTATCACCTCTGAAGCTGTCGTCTTATCAAAACCTTAACACCGTTTTACTGTCATATTCTATCATGAGCAGAATCACGGTATTTCATAAGTAAATATTAATTTTGCGCTTGCAACGAACAGCAAGAAAATAAAATAAAAATTATTTAAGCCATAGGGTTAGCCATAGGACCGCCGAACATATTATCATCATCAAGGTTAAATACCGGTTGTCGAGGAAGCTACCTCAGCATCGGCTGTTTTCATTTCGTACGTTGAAAATCATCCCTGTTACAATGGCAGAATCTGACTGAAGAAAGTAAGTACTTTTTTCGACCTCTCCTCATTGCGTTCAGAAACGATTAACACCCATCCTCCCGGAAGTTTATATATTCAACAGATCTAGAACCTAAGCGTATAGCATGGATCACACTTTCACATTCCAAGGCAGTGATGCAACTTTTTTTACTGAAGCTAAAAATAAAAACTGTTAGAGCTAGGTCGACCAACATGGAAATTATTATTGAAGTGACACGATGTCAGAACTTATTAACTGTTTCGCTCCTCAGACGTTTGAGCATCTCTATTTCGTGAGAATTGATCCCTTCTGTAACCCCTTTTTCATTTTATACTAAAACAAACGACACAATCACACACGCTGTTGTTTAAGGGGCTTTAGGTCAAACCATCGTCATCCTGCAGTGAAGGCAGTAGAAACAAGTGCATCAGAAAACTTGAAGAAAATGAAAATAAGATTAATAAAATCATTTTCATAAATAATGAGTAATTTTTCACATAAAAACTTGAATGTCAGATGGGTATAAGTGTAATGCAGACAATTACGAATTATACTGCGAATGACTTTGCATAGCTTTGTAATAAGCAAAATAGACCATCGCGTGATTCACAATGTTTCAAGAAATATTGGTTCCTTTAGATCGGACTACAGCAGAAAAATAACTGCGTTAGATGAACTGGAATCCTTAACATATAGTTAATAAATGTATGGTTTCGGGAACAGAATTCAGCTAATTTTACGGTACAGCATAAGTAACAAGGCGCCTCGGAGCATGTCGAAATGGCATAGAATAAAAACAAAACAAGTAGAAAGCCTGGTTGCACATAAAAACGAATCCGTGACTCATATTCGTATATAACTCACTATCTCTGCTACAGTAGCAAGTAAAGCCACTGAAGGAACTCAAACAGACGACACCGTGGGCTGTTTAAGTGACCCCCTTAGACATAATAGATTGAAGAGAACGGTGCCTTAACACCGTAAAACCAGGTTGTGACGGAGAGCTGGCCAAATGAAATACTGTTACATTACCTGCTAATTAACCTTTAAGATCAAGATATTTATTTGTCACAGAAATTGCATATTTGTCACGATAGATGCCTGAAATCGATGGCGTAAGCAGAAAATATTCGACTTCTGATGTGTGCTGCATTCTAGGCTTCTCACCAATTGATGACAGGCCGTCGGCGTCGTAGAAAGAACGATTCCAGTCTCGAAGCAGACTTTTGTCTACGTCGG